GTAGTGTTAGATGAATCAGTTTTTCAGTGGTACTAAAACTGAACTACAATTCCTACCATCCCTCATCGTTTACCAGAATGTTTTTCTACAATATCCTGCGTACATATTTGTGGAGAAATTTTTGTTGATCCCAATGTTCTGATAACTATAACATTCTCACAAGTCTGGGTAGAAGTAACAGTAAACACCCAACCAAAGAACCACCAAGACCTTTCCCACCAACACTGACAGGGCAAGGCACTAGAAATGAAATTGTGAGCAAGCCCTACTCTCTACTAGCACTAATGATGTTACCTAGTCTGGGCAATGAAACACCTGCAAGAAAACAACCAAGCTCAGAGAGCACCAAGGAGCCCTCATGGAACAGCTTATCTCCATAATTTTATATGGTGGCTGATCCAATATCCTTTTTTGGGGGGGACATTAAGACTGAATTGTTTTACAGAGCTTTTATGGAAAGAAGGACATTGTTGCATATTAGGCTTAGGTGTTACTTAATTGGATCAAAGTCAATTTAACTTGGATGTTGCACAGTCTTTGAGTAGAGCAATTCCTAACAAAAAGAAAGGTGTGTGCTGTTCAGCTGAGTTACCTTGTAAGTGAAAATTCTTCTGGATGAGGCCTATTACCAACAAAGGTCATCTATTGGTTCATTCATAGCTATCATTATGGGTTAGATCAGGGGTAGACAACCTTGGCTCTTTTATGACTCGTGGACTTCAATTCCCAGAATTCCTGTGAGTTGAAGTCCACAAGTCATAAAAGAGCCAAGGTTGCCTACCCCTGGGTTAGATGATAAGCAATGATAGATATATCCATGCAGTTCCACAAGCACAAAGAGAATAAAGCTTTGACGCCTAAAGCCATTCTATGTTCCCTCCATTCCTGATTGCATTTATGCTTCTAGTTTTGCTATCTTTTCTGGATGAAAATGCCAAAGTGGCAAGGAAGGCAATAGATACACATCAGCTTCCCAGTGACAACCAAGCTCTGCCTAAGAAGAACAATTTCCCTCTGTGAAGGGTTGCCTAATGATCACTTTTCTACAAAATAGCCTGGGTTCTATTTTAGAGAGGTTCTTTGAGAAACTGACCAGACTAAGTCTGATGTAAAGATAAAGAATTTTAAGATGGGGAAAATGTTGAACTTCCAATACCGGTCCTGAGATTGTGGGATGAGCACAAATGTCAATCATTTGTTTGCAATTTTCTCTACTGTGTGTGAGGCTTATGATAATTCTATTCAAATTAAATTTTAAATGCTCCAAATACACAGTAGTAGAGACAAATTAGTATGTGCCAGTTTTGTAGAGATCCTTATCTTCTTTTCCTTTAGTCATCCTAAATTACTTTCAGATGGAATCAGATATTCTCTCAGTCTTCACACAGCACAGTCCAGTTCCTAAATCCTAAAACTTCCCTTGCCCTCTTTGGCCTTTCTCTAGCTAGTCCTTGTATTGTCTCTAGCAACATTCATCCATTGCTGGGCTGCCTTTGTTACTTCTCCATCGGTACAAGGATCATTGAATGATGGCAGAAATTAGATTATAAATCATTCATGAGGAAATTAACTCTATTAGTTTCATTTCAGTAATGGAACCAAGGGCTATTTTAAAAGGGAAACTTTAAAGAACATTCATTTGTTAAGCCTGTAAAATGAATAGAAACCAACTATTGTTTTTGGAGGTATCAGCCTCAGACCTTAGACCATGATAAGTCACTCTTGATAGTGAGATGGGTGGCATATAAATTTAATAAATAAATAAAATGAATAATAATTAAGGATTTTGTACTTCCTAGCAGTTTTCAGTAAATTATTACTGCTAAGGTCTCCGAAACAAGGCGGTCAATTGGTGCCCCCCTCTCCTTTACTTTAAAACTCAAAAGTGCACCCTTGCAGTGAATTCTGCCCAAAATATTGTTCACAGAACTTGTTTTCCGGCAAACATCTGGGCATCATAAATAATGGCAGGGATTTTAAAACAGCTATCTAATTCCTTTCCTGGATAGTCCTACAGACCCTTCTGCATTTTAATTCCTTTGTAGCAACCACAGGATGTCTGATGGAGTACTTTAATAGATTTTGGCATTGAAAAAGCTTTCCTAATGTCACAGACTTGATGGGAAGTAGACTTGCTAAGGATATAATGGCTGCTCCTTTTGCTCATCCTGTTGCTCTGCCACTTCCGATGGCACCTGTAATATAAAAAGGCATTATATCAAAACAACCCTCAGTTGTGCTCTGCATTAAAGATTCTGAGACAACAGGAAGGAAGTGAGAGAAATAATGGCAATATTAATAGTTTGGCACAGACACAGGAAAAAGATTATGATCGAGAGTAGACTCACATGCTTAAATCTTAATTGGAAAAGGAAGATTATCAAGTTCCATTTCTACAGAGGAGTATGTTGGAGGCCCAAGGATAGGTTTGGACCCTTCTGCTTTTCTAGAGGGATCAATATAGAACAGGGGTCTTCAAACATGGCCCTTTTATGACTTGTGGACTTCAACTCCCAGAATTCCTCAGCCAGCATGCCTGGCTGAGGAATTCTGGGAGTTGAAATCCACAAATCATAAAAGGGCCAAATTTGAAGACTCCTGATATAGATACTGGATCAATAGTGCCTCCTCTTACTTTCCTACTTCAGATCAGGGCTGCTTTCTAATTGGAGGCAGACCTAAGCAGTGGTAGCGTGTCTTGGATGATATGAATAATTGAAAACAGGTAGCATTTGTAAGTAAACAAAAGGAATTGCCTGGTGTCTTAAGACCCTCATTTAAAGATGTCAGCTAGTTACGCTTTGTGAAGCATGGCACTAAACATTTCATAAGACCACACTTGGAATACTGCAATGTAAAAAAGATGTTGAAATTCTGGAAAGAGTGCAGAGAAGAGCAATGGAGATGATTAGGGGGCTGGAAACTAAAACATATAAGGAACAGTTGCTTGAATTGGGTATGCCTAGTTTAATGGAGAGAAGGAGGAGGGATGACATGATAGCAGTGTTCCAATATCTCAGGGGCTGCCACAAAAAAGAGGGAGTCAAGCTATTCTCCAAAGCACCTGAAGGCAGGACAAGAAGCAATGGATGGAAACTAATCAAGGAGAGAAGTAATGTAGAACTAAGGGGAAAATTTCTGACAGTTAGAATAATTAACCAGTGGAACAACCTGCCTCCAGAAGTGGTGAATGCGCCAACACTGAAAGTTTTTAAGAAGAGACTGGACAGCCATTTATAGGGTCTCCTGCCTGAGAAAGGGTTGGACTAGAAGACCTCCAAGATCCTTCAAATTCTGTTATTCATACCTGCTCAGCAAGCTGTTGTTAAGACTTCAACTAAAGTAGCAGTTTGAAAAGTGGACTGCCTTAAAAATTAGAAGGAGCACATTTCTATTACCAGCAAAAATAGAAGAGTTTATGATATTCCCTATCATAAAACCTACTTTTCATGCTATAAGTTATCTGCTGGCAAATAATGACACCTTTAGCCTTTAAGCTTGCTTTTGTGCTTTCTTTCTTATTTATTTATATAAAAGCTTGAACATTCACAGCTGGGATCTACTACAAAGTAGACATCTTTCCTTCTTGCTTCTTTACTTTCAGGGGATAATTTAAAGTAGAAGACCAAAGTACAAGTAGCTACTGTGGGAATCAAAGACCATTGCAAATTACCTAAAGAGTTTACTTGTTCTGTATCTCCTCCAGAGAACATGTAGATTTCAGGTTTAGCATTTGCATGAAATCCTTGAATATTTAAAATGCATCAGGCTGTGGGAGAAGGGGGTACTGATGAGATTGCTCCACTTATTCTTATTAATTCAAAACACTCTCCAAATGCTGGATAACACTTCTTAGTAGTGGCTGATAACCAAAACTTTGTTTGGCAAAAGCGTGACCTTTAGCTCTCCTGCAAAGGTCATCTGAGAAAGTTGAAGGAAGTCAGCATGACCGAGTAATTTTATCTACATATTCCACCAGTTAGTTTACAAAACAGATATGCTATTGTAACCATTCTCATGTTTGCTTGGGGAGATGGCTCATCACTCAGGGACAGTGCACCCACTTTGCCAACAGTTTTATCATTGTATCTCCAGTTAAAAAAACTTTAAAGTGATGGGAGAGACCTTTGGCCAACAAGCTTACTAGATTTGACAGGCCATTAGTATCCTCATATACTCTTACCGAGGAGGTTTGGATGAGGGGAAGGCTTATACAGGAATGGGGCAGAACTCAGATTCAATTGGAATTCACATTTTTGCAGAGGTCGGGCCTGCTGTGGAAACACCAGGGTTAGAATCTTCTTATGCCTCTGAAAGTCCAGCAAGCCACATTTTTATTCACCACTCCTCTCTGAGACACACAATAGTAATGTGGAGCACAACCATTCGCAGTGGGGACTTGGTTTTCTGTCTTTCAAAGGCTTTACTCTGTTTCTAAATGTTGAAATGCATTAGGAACAAATTAGATGATCCAGCATTTCTCACCCTTTTATTACATGCTGTCCAAAACAATGACCTGAGTTAATAGCAAAGAACTGGAAAGTACTTTAAATATATATATTTTGGTAACCCAATCCCTGTTTTCCCAAAGTTGATACTGCTTGAAATTAAAATACCTTAGAAGAAGCCTTCAAATGATATAAATCATTTAAAGATGTCTAGTGGTAAGAAATTCTAACAAGTCATTATGTAGGTGTATGTTTCTTCTTGAGAAGTAAAACTAGAGGGCTGAATTCTCTGACCACTTAACTAAGACTAATACTATAACCAGCAATGAGGAAACAATCCAGAATCCCTTAGATATCGTTTCTGATCACTTGGCTTGGTGTGTGCTGTACAATAGTTTTTCTGTGGCACTTTAATTCCTCCTTGGGCTATTTACAAATAGACCTTGAAGATCACCATGAGCCCTTGCATGAATCTAGGTGGATCTCATTGATGTTGGAGACTTGATTGGCTCAGTGGCAGAAATGATTGTGTTTTGTTGTCCTTGGCCACAGATGCCGAAATGCTGTTCCTGCAAAACTCTGATGGCTCCCGGGGATTTCTGGAAAAACACATTGCTTAGGATCCATACTGCTCATGTTTTCTTTCCCAGACCTCCATTCTTTCTTATCTCTTACATGTACTCTACTCAAGCTCTCCCTTCCTCATTTTTTGTTGGTGTATCTACGATAATAAGGCAAGAAAGCTTTCCAGCAGATGACGACACTATCAGCTTTTCCAGGTGTGTTTGCATCCCTTTCCAAAGCTCCAATCCTTTTTATTTCTATTTAATTGGCTTGTTTTAGAATAAATGCCATTTATGAAACTGCCTCAGTGTTTGCTGTTGATCTTGCTCCTGATGGATTTTCAAGGCTTGCATTCTGCAATCTAAGATCTGATGAAGGATCACTGATAATTCAGTGACAGACAGATAATTCAGATCTGTCTGATCGGAAGAAAGATATGCAATTTTAGGTATCTCTGAATACTCAGGATAAAAAAATGAGAGCGCTCAGCTTGTATTTTAGTGCAAACGTGGCAGTTTCCTGTCTGATGAGCGGTGAAAAAGTAAGGAAGGAAATAAAATGGGCAGCAATCATTTCATTAGCTTAGCAAATGCATTATGTAACTGACTTTTAAGTTAATTATTTTTACAGGGTTTTTTTATTTTTATTTTTTTTTTAGTCAACTCTCCTGAAACATGGGTGATTTCACAGTTCTGTGAATTTGCCCATCAGTCAGTCTTCTTTGTGTTTGTCCACTAAAGGATCCACTTGTTTTGCACTGGGCTCATCTAGTTCTTACAGCAAAGCTTATCAATGCATGATGTGACAAGGAGGACTGTTTATCAGCAATTTGTCACAGAAGCTTATGCTGACTAGGACTAGGAAGAAACAACTACCATGCAGTGATTTCTATGCCTGAGGGAAAAATAAAACCTGCATTTCCCCATTCCTAATCCAGCACTTTAACCACTGTATCACACTGGCTTTCAATTGAACCAACAGGAAAATGATCATAATAGTAGACACCCTTATTTTTTGAAGAACAAGGATAATAAAATTTATTTTTTATAAAACAAAAACCCCATAGTCCCGCTTTTCTTTAAAAAGCTGATCTGGTGCAGTGGTTAAGGTATAAGGTTAGAAATAAGGAGATCCTGAGTTCTAGTCCTGCCTTAGGCACAAAGCCAATTGGGTGACTTTGACCCAGTCATTTTCTCCACTCTAGAAAGGAGGTAATGGCGATCCAAAAACTTGCCAAGTGGGGACATGTCCAGGCAGTTATGAGAAGTCAACCCTGACTCAAAGCCCCCCCCCCCCCCAAAGGGGGGAAAACAGTTAAAATCTATCTCTATTTTTAATGTGTTTAATTTGTATTTTTAACTGATAAAATTAGAAGGCAAAACAACAAAAATAAACAAAAATAGAAATCAACCAAGATTAAGAAAGAGAGAAAATAAGCACTTGGGAATATATATTAATGCATATCTGATCTTAAGAAAAAATATAAACATTTTAGACAACTATATTCTGCAGAAATGAAGGCATCCCATTAAGAATACCATGTTTAACATCACTCAAAACTCTTTATAAATAATTTGTTTCATATAATTTTAACAAAGTGAGGTAAAACTATAGATTAGTGCTATTCTTTTTCTCCCTCTCTATATTTTTATTAAATTTCAGAAAAAAAATATTAAAATATAAAGTAACATAAAATGATAAAAGGGAAAGGGAATAAAAGATTAAGGTTTAAAAATAACCAAAAATTTCATAGAACAAATATATAACAAAGGTGACCTCCAAGTTTTTTCCAGTACACAGACTATACCATGTTTCTCTGAAAATAAGACTCGTCAAGAGATTGTAAAGGCTTTCAAGCATACATATGCATATTATTATTCAAATATTGTAAATGGCCTTGCTAAAATTTAGAGACTTTCACTATAAAAGACTATCTATCTGAAATCAAAGCAGAACTTGTGATCATTTCATTTTTCAAAATACATTCCAACATGACAGAATTTCTATCCCCAATGAAATCTCCATGCCAGTGTTTCTCAACCTTGACAATTTTAAGGCATGTGGACTTCCACAGCCAGCAATGCTGGCTGTGGAATTCTGGGAATTGAAGTCCACATGCCTTAAAATTGTCAAGGTTGAGAAACACTGCTCTATGCAGTCTTGTTTATTCCAGCTCCTTGTACTGAACACTTTTATCTTAACTCTTAAAAAAAGAAGTCGATCAAAGAATGGAAAAAGAAGAAATGCCAAGAACTAAAAATTATTCCTTTTCTTTCAAAATCTAAAGTAAGACTTAACTATTGATTTGAGATAATAAACACTAATCATGTTTATGAACATTTAGAAAAAATAGGCCACTGCTACCAGAGTCCAGGATACTGATTTCTCAAGAATATATCATGTCAGATTAAAGAGTTATCTCTATTGAGGAAAGAGTGTAGTAGGCCAAGGTAATGCCATCATGATCTGAAGAAAGCATTTCACAATGTTTCTCATGATAATATAATCATATAGAAAAGATAGAGAAATGTAGACAAGATAATGCTCCAATCCAGTTGATTTGCAGCCTTTTGAAGTACCACACCCAAAGTGTGCCTCTAAATGACTCTGCACTATTTGGGGGGGGGGATAATAAAAGGAGCCCTCCACAGTTCCATTCTTAGCCCAACATTATTCAACAGCAGTGTAAAATTATTCAGAATTATTCAGTAGCAGTGTAAAACTTAGAGGATAGATTTGAAGGGATATTTGTCAAATTTGCAGATATCAAGATGTGGATAGGCTAATACATAGAAGACAAAAATCACAATTCAAAATTATTTCTATGGGCTATGATCTTCTGAATCTGAGTATAGAATAATAGAATAACAGAGTTAGAAGGGACCTTGCAGGTCAACTAGTCCAACCCCCCACCCAAGCAGGAGATCCTTCACCATTTCTGATAGATGGCAGTCCAGTCTCTTCTTGAAAGCCTTCAGTGATGAAGCTCCCACAGCTTCTGAAGGCAAGTTGTTACATTGGTTGATTGTTCTCACTGTCAGAAAATTTCTCCAAAAGATGTTTTGTCTACACAGCTATTGGCTCCCAATCTGTTGTTCAATCTGGTTTTTTTTGGGGGGGGGGAATAATGTAACAGGCTACCCATGTTATACAATCCTTACTTTACAGAGATCTTTCTGCATTAAGGAGAGCTGGCTTGGTAACATGAGGTTGATGAAGAAGTACTAACGGACCACCATCTGATCATGCAATACAGCAACTATAAAAGCCAATGCAATCTTGACTGCATTAGTAGAACCACTGCATACAAATAATGGGAAGTAACACTTTTACAATGCTCTGCCCTAGTGTATTGTGTCAAGTTTGGAGCACCACACTTAAGGGGGCATGCAGAAACTAGACTTCAGAAGAGAGCCACCTGATGATAAGAAATGATGACAGAAAACCTATGAGGCATGGTTACAAAAGCTAGGTATGTTTAGCTTTATAGTTACATGTGCCATTAGAAATCAGGTTCAGTTTGAAAATTACATAAATTAAGAAAAAAAAATCATTACCATGTATGGGCCCATGAATGATACAATGAACATTGATAGGGATTAAGTGGATAAGAGGTGGATGACAAACTTCCTGAAGCTTAAATCACCTCCAATTGGTCCAACACTCAATGACAGAACTAAAATGTACATGCACTCATGCCTATATTATAAAATAAGCTTAATTAGATCCAAGTTTTAACTAATGCCATGTGGCTAAAGTCAATACTTTTGTCTAAATAGCCATTGGCTGCAAATCTGCTGCTCAGTCTGTTTTTCTCTGATGATATAACAGACTGCCCATGTGTCCAGTTGTACAACTCTTTGCTGATGGACATCTGCTCTTGGAAAGGCTGTCCAGCTGAAGTCAGGTATTCAGATAAAGAACTATCAGGGGAGAGATTTGGGGCCTTTAATGTTACTTGTTATCTGGCTAGCAAGCTACACAGCAGGGACAGTCTTTCCCCTCCATGATAATGTATTACAAATCTCTTTTAATGATAATAATTAAATGCACAAATTTGTATATTCTTCTTCTTCTTGTGCCATATCCGTTATTGGACATTGGCGATCATGTTGGCGATCCTGTTTTTATCAGCAGCCGCACGAAAAAGTGCTGCTGAGTTTTGTCCAAACCAGTCCCTTAGATTTTGAAGCCATTTCTTCTGCCTGGACCTCATTTGCCTTCAATCTTTCCCTGGAGGATTAAATGGAGTATGTCGTATTTTTCTGGGTGTCGCATCACATGTCCGAAATATTCTAATTTTCATTTTTTAATTGTTTGCTGATTTCCCTTGGCGGCTTATCACCTCCTCATTTCTGATCTTGTCAACCCAGCTTATACGTAACAGTTGCCTGTAAATCCACATTTCAAATGCTTCTAGTCTCTTCAGGTAGCTTTCTGTCAGAGACCAACTCTCTACTCCATAGAGCAGGATAGAAAAAATATAGCATCTGACAAGCCTGATTTTCAGTCTAAATTTGCATATATAAAATTTATTTACCCACTTGCCCTCTCTATTGGGAGATGTGTTGTCTCTCTTTAGACCATTCACAATTGACTATTCTATTACATAAGAAGTACAATAAAATAAAATTAACTGAGCTCCCTCATTCCTTCCTCTTCCCAGCTGCTCATGAAGTTAGGTGCCCAGAATCACCCCAATCAGCAGGATGGGTGGAATATAAATTTAATAAATAAATAAATAACCTGTTGCTCTGCTTTGTTCAGATGTTACCATCCTGACCCAGTTCAAATAACTTCAGCTATCATTTCCCTCAAGTATAACCAATGTGATTAACACATCTATGGAGAGCATAGACTATGGAAGGCTGAGGCTGTATATGTTCATAGCTGATATAAGACAATCTCCTTCTGATTCTGTGAATCATGTTTCTTCTTTCTGTCTGTTACTAACAGGCTGACTACAGATTTGTAGTCTTTGCCCAAGTCCACACATATGCTAAAATAGTCCTGGAGGTTTCAGCCAAAAATAACATTGTGCTTTACTTGATCGGTTGCCATAAATGCTTTGAGGATAAATAGAAATCCATAATAGCGGTAGCAGAATCTGTATCCTGTTTCTGATCATTCCTCAGGGCCAACATTTTTCAAACCTTATCGAGCTCCAACACACTTGATTCCTGAAAGCTCAGAGTTCAGAGATTTTTTTTTAAAAAAAAAAAAACAGCCCCAGAGCCAAAACCATGCCAAGAGTTTCTTTCCCCAATCTCATTCCCTTCAGACCAACACCCTTTTTTCCCCTTCTTATGCCTTTTTCTTAAAAAGCAAAAAAAATCTCATGCACTCACATCAGTAAACTCATTATGATTGTCCACTGTTTGTCTTAATCTGCCAGGAAGAGCTTATGGCACACACACACAAAAATATCCTTAGTGTATAGTCTTCAGTCTCTCGGAACAATTAATGGGGGGAGGGGAAAAATATATCATTTTGTCACTTTGCAGAAGTCACTCGTGGAAATAGGAATGGTCTTATATCCTTATGCCTGACATCCATTTATTGGCTCAGCTAGCTTAGTTTTGTCCACAGCAGGAATACCTGTACATCATGGATCTTCTAGTTCCCATTTTGCTGCTCCCAGATTGCATTGCTGAAATTCAAGAATAAAACTGTCTGTTTTCAGTGGTTTAAGTTTCTTTGGGGAGGGGAAAACGTAAGAGGCATTTAAATGGACAGACACCGTGCATGTCTGTGAGTTTAATGCGCCCTTTTATCCTTTAGTCCCAAATCTTATGAAGCTTAAAGTTTCTTAAAGGTTAGGTGCTCCCATTGTGAGTGATGGCATTGTCTCACAAACTATGATCCCTCTGCTTTGCAGAAAACCTCCCTGAAAAGATATAACAGTCTCAGTCACAAAACAGATTTGCCCATCCTTGTTCTATAGCAGCTTTTCAGTATTCAATCCCTTGGCCATGCCAAATCATTCTACCTCGTATTCCTTATCTACAAATCTACACAACTACCCATTTTCTCTATGAATGTCCAGAAACTCTCATGTTTTGAATAAATTATAAAACAATAAATTTGTCAGTGAGTAATGGGAACATGACATTTCTTTTATTTTTGGATAAAAGAATTGTTTATCACAAAAAATGATAACATAGCTGAATTAATTGAAAACAAAGCTTACGAGTTGCATTTTAAAGTGCATTTTAGTATGAACTTGTGCACCAACTTATTTCTGGCCTCAACCAACAATTGATTTGAAAAAAAAAAATCCAGCTATATAAAAATTGCATCATGTAAGCATTATCTTACCTTATCACTTTTATCTTACAATAGAGCAGCTTTTTTTTCTGAAAGGTGAGAATGATTTTGGTGTGACTATTCTAATATAGTAGTATATAATTTTAACACATCTCCAGTTGTCTGTCTTAATCTCGTTACTATCCCATAGAAAAATTATCTTTCCCCCCTCCAGTTCTAGTCATTTGCATCCCGTGAAGCAGAGAGGCTTTCTGCAAACTAACATCATCAAATTGTGATGATGGCTTTAATTAATATTTTCCTGTTCTTAAAAGTTACTATGCCCACTGGAGCCTGAATCTGTGGAATTACTATGGGTTTGTGTCTATCTGATGCAATCAATTGCCAGATGGAAAGGTGAAGTAGATTTTCCCAAGGTACTGTTATGGTTACAAAAGACTTGCTGCAATTGTCCTGTTTGGCCAGAGAGTGTCTCTCCTCCATTTTCTGTGCTATTGATGGATGTATTGCCTCTCCTGTTTTTAATCTATTATCTCAAGATTCCCTAGCTGTCTGTATTTCCAATGGGATAAGTTATTAGCTGCTTTGTATAGTAGAGATGATAGTAGTCCTATGTTTTTTTAAAATAAATTTCAGCATGAGGTTATTGCTGACATAATGCAATAACTGATAGGATGAAAGCAGGATTGCTTAAATTATATTGCTAATCTATTAATAACTCTGGTTATAGTCATTCAGTGTTATCTTCAAAGCATAACTCAGAAGAAGAAGGTGAAGAGTTCCTTCAAAAAATAAGGAACAGAGTAGCTCAGATGCAACAGAACCAGCTCCCTGTATTTTGAAGTACAGTAAGTGGGTAAAGGAGAATATTCTGTCTGGAATCTAAAATCATCTATTCTAATTGCCTCTCTGAAAGTCTCTTGTAGGTTTGTGTAGTCATTTGGAAACCTGCCCTACTCACTTGTAATTCAGTACATAAATGTCTGCAGAAGGTTCTGCTTTCCTCAGAATATGTTGATTTCCAAAGAAGCTAAATTTGAAAATTTCTACATTTTAAATCCCATGTGATAAGAAAGAATTGTCAAGGATGGGAATGGGCTCAGTGGGGTTGTTAGACATCATGATTCAAACCTACAATTCCAAATTTCACTTCTCTGCTGATTTTAACTATCAACAATTTATTTATTTTCTCCAGAATTCTTGACATACTCAAATTTTCCTGCTTATGCTAGATTCAAATTACGGAAGTCAGAAATGTTTTTCCCATACCGGAAGTTCCTGTTATTTTTACAGATGTATTTTTATAATTCCTAAAGCTGTGTAGGACAAAATAAAAATAAAGACTATGAAAACAACAAAAGTCTCCCAGGATTAATCAAAAAACTATATTTTCTGAAAGGATAAAGTTAAAGATACATATTTAAACATTTGGTAATAAAATTATTGACTGCCAGTCTAAGGGAACTCAACAGTGAATTTGGTAGACACCTGTTGAAAGAAGCTTCCATCAGGAAGAATTGCCAGTGAGAAGATCTTGCTTCTGGGAGAAGAAAATCTTACACCTGTTAGAGAAGAACTTCAGAAACAGACTTCAGCAGCATTTCAGTAGATGTACTTTATGTTGTGTTGTGTGTGTGGTGTGGTACAAAAAGTATCATTTAGGAAAAAACATTCCTAAAGACATGTTAATATATCATTAACAAAGTCTAAAACTATCAACCTGAATTTGACCTGGTAAGATTTGCATAGAATCTAGGAAAATACTTGCAAAGAGACAAAGAGACTGCATGTGGATTCAAACAAAAGGAACAATAACTGGATGATGTTTTTCCCAATAGGAATCCCTTGTATTCAAAAAGGCAAGAGCTCAACTTGAACTAAAAGAAAATTGCAGTATTACAAGTATTGTAATGACAAGCAAGGTCACCTCAAGTTAAAACTCTGGCAAAATACCATCTTGCTCACCAGTCTAAAATGTCAGGATGAGCTTCATCTCTCTGAAT